GGTTTTGTTGCAGTTGTTTAGTCATTTTTCAGTTGTGTCTGACTCTTTGTGACTCCATTTAGGGTTTGTTTGGTTGGTTTTTTTTGGCAAAGATATTGGAGTGGTTTGCCATTTCTTTCTCCAGCTCAGTTTTTATAGATGAGGAAACTAAGGCAAACAGGCTTAAGTGACTTGCCCAAGGTCACACAGCTATTACGTGTCTGAGGCTGTATTTGAACTCATAAAGATGAATTTTTCTGATTCCCAAAAGTCTGTATTTGAAATTTAAGTCTGGAATGATACTCCTAATCAATAAAAATGCTTTTTTCATTCCCCTGACTTACTATTCACAAAATATGAGGTAGAAAGATATAGATTATCTATGATAGTTTATTAACTTATTGCTTTCTCAAGCTACAATATAGCCAAATTCATGAAAGTGGTGCTGGAGAGATTTCAAGCAGTCCTGGTTGGACTCCCTCTCTCTCTCTCTCTCTCCACCCACCCACCCCCCCCTTTTGACTTCAACTTTCCATAACAAAATCCACATAAAAAGATAATACCTAAAAAAATAAATGGAATGGGGTGGGAGATGTTGGTCGGGGTTTGGTTGCAAGGGCATTTACTTGCAAAACACATTGTATTTTTTCTTTTCCTTTTACACTAGCATGTCTAAAATTTGGTCATTTTCTTATTTTTTTTTTAATCTTTTATTTTAATCTTTTTTTCTTTTTTTTTTTTTTGGTGAGGCAATTGGGGTTAAGTGACTTGCCCAGGGTCACACAGCTAGTAAGTATCAAGTGTCTGAGGTCACATTTGAACTCAGGTCCTTCTGACTCCAAAGCAGTAGCTCTATCCACCGTGCCACCTAGCTGCCCCTCTTTTTCTAACAAATAGTATATATGCCTGTTTGAAAACATGCCAATAGCTCTACCCAATTTGTAGAAAAATTTATGGTCATTTAAAAACCATTAAGATTTTTGACTCAGATGACAGAAAATCAGAATATCCTACTCCCCTCAAACAGAAATTAGTTTTCCAATGTTTCTCAGTTTCTCCAGCTCATCCAAATCATGTTGTCAGAGAATGACTATCTCATAAATACCTTTGTTCATTGTATTTACTGTTTCTGTGCCCACCCACACAGTTAACTTCAGGTTTGGATCACAGATTTACCCTTTTCTAAGTGTATTGACATTTCAGTGCTTGCCAGAATAAAAATCAATTAGAATCTCAGAGCTAGAAGGTATCTCAAAGGCCACTGAGTCTAACCCATACCTCAGTAGCCCTCTACAAGCATCTGGCCTCTGACTAATGAGCTCCATTGCTGGGGGAACTCATTCCCCTTTGAGGCCGCCCAGTCTGCTTTTTGGTAGTTTTCCTTGTTAAGACAGGGCTTTTTCGTTTTTCCTTTTATTGAACTGAAATGTACCTTTTTGCAATTCTTCCCCTCTACTCTCTAATTACTCCTGATTCTTTGGGAAGGGAGGATATAAAAATATTAATAATAACAAGAAGAAGCATTTATATAGGGCTTTAATGTTTGCAAAGCAAACATTTCATTTAATCCTCACGACAACTCTGGGAGGTATGTACTATTATTATCCCAATTTTACAGATGAGGAAATTGAGGCAGATAGTGATTAAAAGACTTGCCCAGGGGTCACACAGCTAGTAAATGTCTTCTGCTGTATTTGAATTCAAGTCTTCCTGACTCCTAGTCCAGTGCTCTATTCACTATCCCATCTAGCTACCTCTAGTAAAAAATATAATCAGGGTCAGCTAGGTGGCACAGTAGATAGAGCACTGGGCTTGGAATCAGGAAGACTAATCATTGAGTTCAAATCTGGCCTCAGACACTAGGTGTATGACCCTGGATAAGTCACTTAACCTTGTTTGCCTCAGTTTCTTCATCTGTAAAATGAGTGAGAAAAGGAAATGGCAAGCCATTCCAGTATCTTTGCCAAGAAAACCCCAAAGGGGGTCATGAAGAGTCGGACAGCATTGAAACAACTGAACAACAACAAAAATATAATCTCTCTTCCATGGGATAGCTGTCATTTCCTCCTCCCCCCGCTACAAGTCTTCTCTGGGCCAAATCTCCCCACCTCCCTAACCTTAATGTCAGAAGTTCTTCACCGTGAGTCCATGGTTAGATCTCAGGAGTCCTTGAATTTGGGTGGTGAAAAAATAACATCTTTATTTTCATTAGCCTTTAACTGAAAACTGAACATTTCCTTAAAATATTTAAAAACGTGACTCTGTGAGAAAGGTAGAGACTTCCCCCGACTGTCCAAAAAACTTAAATGATCCTTATACAATATGCAATCGTGACCCTTTGTCCTTCTGGTCATCGTCCTCTCCATAGGCTCTTGCTCCCCAAATCTTTCCTAAAAATGTGGCACCTGGAATTGAATATAGTCCTCCTCCTATGTTCTGACCAGAACAAAGTAGAGTGGGGGTTTTCCTTTCTCTTGCTGCATTTCTATTAATGTAACCGAAGATCAAATTAGCTTTTTAAAAATAGCATCAGTCATGCTTTGGGCTGATTTCGATATTGCAGTCCAATTAACCCCATACTTCTTTGTGATGTGGACTCTGCTTAACCACATTCCCCTATCCTGCCCTTATACATTTGAGTTTTTGAAACTAGGTGTCAAGATTTTATGTTTATCCCTATTAAATTTCAACTTATCAAATTAAGACCGTTGTTCGAGTCTGCCATGACCATTTTGGGTCCCAATAGTTTCATTGAAAGTGTTGTCCCTTCCTTGGGGGTTGGACTATCTGGCATTTGAGGTCCTTTTTAGTTGTAAATTGATGATCCCATTATTCTCCAAGTTTTGAATAGCTTTAAAACTTTTCCCTCATTTTGACAGGGCTGACAGTGCCAGTAAGCAGATAGGCATGCTAGTCTGCAAACAGGCCAACTTTCGTATCTAGGTTGCGACATCTATTCATTCAACAAACATTAATCGCCTATCTGTGCCAGCGTGTTGTGCATGGCGCTGGATGTTCAAAGACAGAAACAAAAATCCTTTCCATGGGTCAGGGGAAGGAGAAATATAATATATACACTGATAAATCAATACAAAATATATACATAATGATTGGGGGAGGAGGCACTAATAATTGGGGGAATCAGAAGAGGCTTCATGTAAGAAATGGCTCTTAAGCCTCAGTAGCCTTAAAGGGAAGTAGGAATCCCAAAGAGGCAAGTGATGAGAGTGCATTCCAGGCATAGTGCACAGCTTATACAAAGGTACAGCGGGAGATGGAATGTCCTGTGTGGACCATAGCAAGTTGACCAGTTTGACTGGCCCCCTTTAACATGAGGGAGAATAATGTGTAATTATCCTGGAAAGATAGTTGGAGTATAGAAGGCTTTGAAGGTGGAGACAAAAGTTAGCAAATCTATGATATCTTTTCGTTTCTACTTTAACTCCAAAAGTGAAGTCATTCATTATTTAAATGGTGTTTTATCCCTTAGTCCCAGGCATTTCATAAGAAAGTGTTGACTGAGCTTGACTTCCTGGTACAAAAAAAAAGATTATACTTTTATTTACTAATTACCATTGTAGTCTGAAGTCAAGGGACAGCCTTTTAACTAAAGAAAAAACAACAACAAAGCTTTTTGTTTGAAGTAGAAACTGAAGATAATTCATGAATGTTTTCATTGTTGTTAACCCCAGGAGGCACATGTGTCTGTTCTCCAAGTTAGAATTGGTCACTGGAAAGCTCTGCGCCATTGTCCGACCCCTCTCTATCTTTCAGAATATGCTGGTCCAGAAGCTAAAATGAAAATTGAATTCTGAGTTAAGGGGAGTCTTGTTATAGCAGTGGCAGAGTCTGATAGTCAACTCAGTAGGTTTTTATTGGGCAGCCACCATGTAGCCAAATTTGTTGGACACGGGAGTCTACAGCTAGGAAACAGTACCTTCAAGAAGTCTTTCCAAATTATTACCCACTTATACTCAATTAGAGTAACTTAGGATTTAGACATGAAATGGATCTTAGAGGTCATTTAGTCCAGAGGTGATAACTTGCAGTCAGCCCCCTAACCAATGGGGTATGCCTGAATCAGATTAAAATGTAATTGTTAAATATTTAACAAAATAAATAAAAATACAATAGAATGTAGATAATGTTATGTGGTTTTCTAAGTCAATATGAGGTGTCAGGGATCCTCATGTACAGTGGCCCCCATTTCTATTTGAGTTTGACATCACTGATCTAGTTCAATACCATCATCCTACAAATAAGGAAACTGAAGGCCAGAGAGATAAAGTGATGGGTCCTAGGTTTCAGGGTTACTAGGATTGGAACCCGGGTCTTCTGTGTCCAAATTCACTGATCAGTTGGAGTGAAAAGAAAAAGATGAGACAGAAAGATAAGTCCTGATAGTGGTATGTGTGGATGTTTGGCAATTTGGGGGTGATAATCCTAGCATTTCCAATATGTAATCAAAGAAAAGAGTTGCCTGTTCATTCAGGCATTCTTTGGTCTCTCTCCATTTTAAAATTTAGTACTGATCCTGATTAAGCGTTGGATTGAAAAATCGGGAAGACTGGCTTTGCTTGCCTATAACACCTGCAATTTTTGAAAGTGAAACAATAGCCCAAGTTGGAACTTCCTGAGTCATAATTACTTCTTTTCCAAAGATTGCTGTTGATTCAGAAAGATATTTAGATGTCCTTTGATTTTTACCATATGGTTAACCTGGCCTCCCACCTCCAAACAAAACAAAACCTAATGACCCAAGAGCATATGACCCCAGTGCCTCCATCTGCTCCATCTCTGAAGGTGGGCAGAATCTGACCCCACCCTGGACTTCCACAATACCGTTTTCCTTGGAAGCAGTTCAGAGTTGAAAGATTCAAAACAAATCAGCAGCAGTAGGGGCTGCAACACATCCTTATATGGGGCCCCCAATACTGCATACATTCAGCTCGGGATGCTTTCCTCATCTGGGGCCCTCTTGAATAACTTGTATGCACTTTTTCTCTTCTTGTTTCCAACAGCTGTGTGGGAAGGAGTTTAACCGAATGCATAATCTCATGGGCCATATGCATCTGCACTCAGACAGCAAACCCTTCAAGTGCCTCTACTGCCCCAGCAAGTTCACCTTGAAAGGGAATCTGACCCGTCACATGAAGGTCAAACACGGAGTCATGGAAAGAGGATTTCACTCCCAAGGTGAGCCGCTGCCCCCACCACTGCTGCTTGGCGACTTTTCTGACTCCCGTGACTGAGTTGGAATCCAGAGCACATTGAGGTTTTCTTTTAAGAGACTTTCTCCATGGGGAGGCAGTGAAAAGGACATTGAACCTGGAGTCACAGGATCTCAATTCAAATTCCCCCATATGCCATTTACTAGCTAGGTAACCTTGGGCAAGTAATCTGCCCTCTCTGGGTTAAATTGATTTCCTCCTTTGTAAAATGAGGTTGAAGTAGATGAACTCTAAGGTCCTTGAGATCTATGACCTTATGACCTTGGGTCAAAAGTGGGGTTTTATTTTGGGGAAAGAGCAAAGTGAGGAAGCTAACATGTGAGTATCAGAAAATGGTAAATGAAAATGGAGTCTGAAATGAAAATTAGGAACATGTCTCACAAGACACAAAAAAAGAGGGCTTTAATTGATTTAAGAGCTAGGGGAAGAGACGAGGGCAGATGGTTTTAGGGACTGAGCTGAAAAGATAATCTCCTGAGATTTTTTGGTAAAACTTTGTAGTGTTCTGCTATTTCCTTTGGTGGAGGGCCCCAAACTCCAATGAGTTGTTTTTGTTTTTTTCTTGGTTGAGACAATTGGGGTTAAGTGACTAGCCCAGAGTCACATAGCTAGTAAGTGTCAAGTGTCTGAGGCTGGATTTGAACTCAGGTCCTCCTGACTCCAGGGCCATTGCTCTATACACTTTACCACCTAGCTGCCCCCCTGTAATGAGTTTATTAAACCTGCTTAAGAATTGCACATTAAATCTAATCGTGAAAGTGCCATGGGTTGGTGTTTGTTCAATTGCCAGTACAATTTGGATTACAGTCAAACTATATCTGACTGGGGAAGTGGGGAGAGGAGTGGAAGGAAAGAAAGGAAGAAGAATGAGGTAAATACTGACTTGGTTTTATAGGATTTAAAACTGATAGAAACTTTGGAAAAAATCTAAGTCAACTCCTTCATTTAACAATTAAGAAATGAAGCCCCAGAAAGGTTTAAAAGACCTGATACAAGGTCATGTAGGTAGTAAGTGGCAGAGTTGGGACTTGAGCCCAGGGCCTTTGATATAAACATTCTGCACTAAAGCCTATTTCTGGATAGATTTTATCTCCATTCGGTCTCCGCTATATCCCCACTTCTCTGTTACTTTCCTGATATAAAGTGAAGGAACAAAACACAAACTTTTTTTTTCTGTCACATCTCCAGCTAGGGATTTAAGGACACTGGAAAGTAGAGAGGGGTTGGTTTTCAGTTAGGGCACTTCAGGAATAAAAATAAACTCTCTCCTTTTAAAAATTAGATCTAAATTATCCTTCATGAAAAATAAAATATTCTACCAAACTCCTTTTATAAGACAAGTATAGCCCTAATACCTGAACCAATAAAGGATAAAGGAAAGAAAAAACACTAAAGATCAGTATCACTAATGAATATTGATTCAAAAATAATCCTCGCAAACTAGCCTCACCTGCCAACTGAATCAGTAACAAGTGGACCACATCCTCTTCATTTCCCTCTCCATCATTCTCCATGCCATGCACCCAAATAAGAAAAAAAAAAGCCTATGCCTACAAAAGGGGGAAAAATGAACATACAAAACCAATATTCTCTTCTACCCTCCTCCTTTCCCCTACCAATGCTAAAATAAAATATAACATTTTATCAAAAGAAAAAAGTCTTTAAAGTTTACTTCTTCCATCCTCTGCCACATGGGCCAGGAAAGAGCTGATTCCCGTTTTTGGATGGGTCTCCTTGACCCATTTTTGTAAATAAACATACCCAAGAAGAGATTTTTCTTTATTTTTGGGCAAGATGGATCTTACCCATTCATAGAATGAGCCCATCTCCATTGTTAAGTCTTCAACAGATCTAAAGGGAAGTTCTTGACTCTCTTGCCTCCCAAATCTCCAGTTTCATAGCTATGATTCTGAAGTGTTTACTTCCATGATTCTGTATATCCATAGGACTACAAGGAATCTATCTGTTCTTCAGGTAAGCTCCAGGAGCCTTTTCTATTAGAGAAAGGAAAACTTCACCTAGGACTTTCTTTTCCTGCTATATAACCCTCTATGTATTCAAATCACAGTCACACCAAACAATTTTGTCAACTCATAGTCGTTAAAACACATTATGGATCAATTGATGTCAAACCTGACTCCCTGGCAGATAGTAGGGACTAGGAATTTGTCATCCATAAATAGGTTCTTAGAAATAGAAGGAATAACTTTTGGCATGAGTCTAAAAGCCCATGGAAAAACAATTAGAAAAATTCAAGAGGTAAGAATGTGTCATATTTTAATTCTCCAAATTTCAATTTTTAAGATGCAGTAGAGCTACCAGGAAGGACCTTCCCCCCACCATGTTAACAGCCCTAAATCCATTCCAACTTTAAATATATGATCTAACATAGACTTCTAACCTCACTTGTAGATCACCCTTCAGCCTTAGTCTCACGTTTAATCTTATCATCCTGAGCTCTAGTGTAATCCAGGCAACTATATGTTTGGATATTCCTTTATTAATTAGTAAAATTTCAACACGTCTCTTGATCAGTTATGCTCTGAGCCCCCACCTCAGTTCATCAAGTAATATTTATTTAATAAATCAGAAATACCTTCTTTTTCATAAGTACTTATATTTCTCTATATAATAACACTACTAGTTTCCTAGGATTAAATAGATATTAAAGTTACTGAATACAGCATTCAATTTATTTACAATCAAATAAGTAATAACAAAAATATAAATTACTGTTTACAGTAGTTTAACTCTGAGAAAGATCACAGCCAGCATCACCTCAAACCACCCTGTAACTACAGACAGCTTCATTTCTAAAAACACAGTACCACACCATTTACTTCCTCCAATATAACAAATAGTCTTTACGTGCAATTCCTTTTCATCCTCTTTACAAGATAAAGATTACAATTGTTTCATAAAGAATATGTATCTTTCTGTCTTCTCCAACCCTGATAGAAAAAACATCTTCAGCTTCTTTTAAGCTATCACTCTTAATTCTGTCCAGATTTACTTCTCTTAACATTGTTATAATGCTTCTTCATAAAATTAGTTAACATTTTTCCCTGGGAAGAAGTTTTCCACATCCTCTTTCTGTTTGTCTTCTCCATGGTTTCTCTTCAATCATCTACACTAACTTTTTCTTCTCAGGTTCTCAAAAACCGCCAGCCTCAATTCCCAAATCCTAAACATTCCATTTGGCTCTTAAAATTACAGTAAGAGTTAACTAGAGCCTTACTATAAGAGGCTTTTGAAATAGGTGTTATATTTAATGGAAAAAAATGACAACAAAAAGATGTTTTCCCCCATAACTTCAGTGTTTTCAAAAAGTTTGCATTTCTAGTCACAACAGCTATTTATCTTTAGAAAGAGACATGAGAGAGCCAACCATAGTAACTGGGAGCAGATTTACTGCTCACCTTCTGAAAGTATAATTTAATAATAATAATTCACTCAAAGTTTATGTTCCAACATAAAGTGGCATGAAATAGCTTGGCTTGCTCTTACTTCTAGAGAAATAAAGAATGTCAGTTTTGCACTGGCTTTGTCAATTTATTCTTAAGGGATTTCACGTATTTCAGTGTTCTTGTCTGTAAAAGGTGATGGCATGTCCCCACTCTTTCCAAAGCTCAGATGATTAAATTAAATTAAAACTCAGATGAAAACGCCCCTCATTGTAGCTCTGACAGGGCAAGGGTGTGACCAGGGAGGTCTGATGGAACTTTGAAAGAATTGAAACATAGGCAACATTTCTCCACTTCCCCTTTAACACTCTATTCCTAGTGGACATTTTTACACTCCATTCAATGCTCCACCTAAAACTCCAGCAAATAACTCCTTCGCTTCCAATGGCATTCTATCAGGTCAAGACAACATTTTGTATTCTCTCTTCCCCAGCAGACTCTACTTGACTCTGTGTTCCATTCTCTCTCCTTCATGCTCTTGGCTAAATAGTATCTATGCTATAATGTTTTAGCTAGCTGGTGTCTTACCCCTAATTAAAAAGCACAGAAATCCAAAAGACTCTTACCTTGAGGCATTGGGACTGACTGGCAAGGAAAAACATTTGGTCAGGTAACATGTGTCTCCTTAGGTGACTCTGAGGCCTAAGTAGAATTCAGAATTTACTACTTTACCCATGCAATCTTGAGCTGGACATCATTTCCTTCACCTCTTATAGAGGGTTAAGATTAGATGATCTTTGAATGCCTGTCTAGCTCTCAATCTATAACCCTGGGAGAGGCTGGCTATTCTGTGCCTTAGTCCAGTCTCTCCGACAGAAGGTCAGATCAGATCGTTTTTCCCTTTTTCACGTTTTCAAAAAGCCAAAATAATTCCAACTTGGCATCAGAAAGAATGCCCCAATTTCTTTTTTAAATTTTTATTTAATATCTTTTGTCTCTTAATCCTCTTCATTTTCAAATATATCCTTCTTCCCTGCCCTACATCCCTTGTAACAAAGAAGAAGTTCAGCAAAATTAAACAAGAGTCTGGTAGTATATGCAATGTTCCACACCCATAGACCTCCCACCTCTGAAAGAAAGGAAGACACATTTATTTATCCCTTCTCTGAGGCCCAGCTCAGTCATTGTAATTACTCTTCAGAATGCCCTATTTTTCAGCTGCTCTTTCTGCCAGGTGAGTTACATTACACTTCAATTCCTTCTTGTTTTCATTAGGTTTTGGAAGAGGAAGGATGGCCCTCTCCCAGACGGTAGGGGTGTTGAGGAGCTTGGAACAAGAAGAACCTTTTGACCTTTCACAGAAACCTCGGGAGAAGGGTACCCCCTTTCACTCTGATGGAGAGAGTGCCAAGGGCAGCTCTTGCCCAGAAGAGGAGGAGGAGGACACGTGCTATGAGCCTGAGCAGTACAGCCCTGGTCTGTACCAGCAGAACAAGCCACTGTACACGCCCCAGGACCTGTCTAGAAAAACTGAGCAAGTGATGAAAACTCTGCCAGAGTCCTACGGTGAGAAGGAAGGCACTCTGAACAAAGCCTTGGAAGAGAAAGGGAAAGACGGCGTCGGTGCCAAAGGAGGCCACGAGAGAGACTTCGCATGCAAAGATGAGCTCTGCAGCTTCAGGGCTTTTCAGAATGGCAGGCTTGAGCCTTCTTTTTCTGATTATCTTTACTTTAAGCACAGGAATGAGAGTTTAAAAGAATTACTGGAGAGGAAAATGGAAAAACAAACGATGCTTTTAGGTATCTAAATGGACAGCTTTGAAATTACCTTTGGAAAATGAGAACCCGGCGGCTCACATGCAGCTTTCAGTAGGAGCTATAATTTGCTGGGGACTACCCATTTGGGCAGCTCCTTAAAGAAGATTGGACCAAATCAGTAAGAACAATTTAAGGCAAAGTAAATGTCTTGCAGGTGGTCTGTTGGCCCTTTAATGTCAATAGCATAGTTTGGAATCTTCCCTCCGGTGTTATTACAGTCCCTACTATATGTAATATTCCTTTGGATATTTAATTGCAAGTGGACTCTCAGTTGATTACAGGGATTTTGTTTTCCTCTTTCTGATACTGCCCATATGCATCACACTCATACCTTTTCTTTCTAGTTGCCAAATAGCAAAGGTTCTTCAGGTATTAACTTACTAATGATGATTTAGTAACAAATAGACATGGTAGATCTCAAGAAAATATTTTTTTCCAAATAGACTAAAATATCATTAAGTGCATATATGACAATAGCATTTAATAATTTTTTTAAAAAAGAAACTTTCCATACATACTAGAAATGACTCCAGTAGCTCAAGAGTTAGACCTGGGATTTGCATGTTCCCAAGATGTCCCTGGAAGGGTGAGATGAGATCTAAGATAAGACTTTCTATGCTGTCAAGTGTCTGTGAAGATGGATTGAGGAAAAAAACAAAAAACAAGATACTAAGTTCCTAACTATATATACTAATGTCCTGCCCCAGCTGCTTTCTGTTGGGGAAAGACTAGAGACAAAATCTTGATGCTGTTCTGGTAATATGCCTTGTGTTCTAGATCTCTAGCCTAACATGCAATGTGAACAGCAGGAAAAAGCACCATCTATGGAGTCCAACAATCCTAGGTTCTACTCCCAGCCTTGCTCACTTGGTACCTGGGTAACCCTAGAAAAGTCTCTTTCCCTTTCTGGGTCTTACTTTTCTCATCAGTAAAATTGAGGGGGTTACACTGGATGATCTCTAAAGTCCCTTCTAACATTCGGTCCTGTGATCAGAGGCTCTTGAGAAATTTACCCACCAACAAAAGCAGTGTGTGTGGGGGGGGGGGGCGGGGGTGCATTTTGCTGAGGAAGCAGCAATTTATTCACTCTTCAGTCATCTCAGGCCTGGAGCTGGGAAACATGTCCTCCCTTGAAATTTATGCTCTGACTTTTGGAGATTTTATAGCAGTGACCAGAAGCTTTAACGTAAATGAAATATAGCATTATTCGCCTGTCTTTGGAGCCCTCGCCCTATAGGACAACAAATATTTGCCCCCTGACTTCTAAAGAGCCAAGTCATCGGCATGACTGATTGGGTTCATTTTCATCAAGAAAGTCACAAATTTCCAACTTACGTCTCTACTTTGCTTTAATCATTGATAAAATATGTACATACATGACACATCTATATATTGATATACATGTAGAGGTGTGTGCATTACATACACATCTTTTGTATAAGAGGATGCTTGTGGTGTCTTTTATTTAATTGTTTTGAAAAAAATGCAAGATCCACCTTAATAAGGCTGATGATTTCTAACTGGACACTATGCCTACAAATTCACTAGAAGCCTCTAGGCAAATATGATGACCTCAAGACACCTTCATTGCAGTTACCTTTTTAAGTTAATGCCAAATACTTGAAAAATGTATTTCTTTTTTGCTAATCTCCCAAGAGTTTGGCTCAGGGTTCTGTGATGCCAGGGCATTTTCCACATCTAAACAAGTGCCTTGTACATTCAAATACTAAGATAGGGGTCCAGTATTCTTCTGTCTTCCACATCACCATCTTTGGGATTCCTGTTGCTCAATAACTCATCTCACTGATTATTCCTAAGTGAAGAGGCGATGATTCTAAAACACAAAGAATGGTATTGAGATGACACGTCATTTTGAAAACTCTTCACCAAAAGGAATAATCCAAGCAATTGAACTAGAGGTGTTTTCTTCTCATGATGGCAACATGCCTTTGAGTAGGATTTCCTGTGGCAGATTTGTAAAATTCAGTGAACCCGGTTATCTTCAGCTCATCATGCCAGGAGCCAGCCATAGTATATTGCCATAAAATCATCCCTGTAGGCTGCCTTCCTCTTCTAATTCCTGAGGCAAATTCCATGGTCATAGAGAATAGAAATCTGGTAGAAGTACAGAGTATAATAAACCACTTTTATAACAAAAGCCCAGCCCCTGAAAAGGCAAATTTTTCCATGAGCCAGGAAGCAGAACCTGGTTCTGATTGGTCTAACTAGTCTAGGTAATATTTCATTTCCTCCCCTTCCCTTCCTTCGGGTCACAAGTTTGTTGACCAGGTCAACCAATTCACTGGTATCAGTGTCAGAACAAAAATGCCTTCCCATGATTTCCAACCTGCTAGAGAGTGACAGCTACAGAAATCTGGAATATAAGGGCATTGGGCACAGGCTAAATGACTTTGATAAAAAGATGTCATAAACTTGACCCTTAAGCACATCCCTAGTGTGGTCCCCATGGCACCAATTATAAAGTTGAATCTAAAAGCCTGACAGTGACTGAGCTTAAGTGAGCATCCAATTTCCATGTGAATGCCCCTCCCCATGTTTTCATTTAAAATGCTTTGGAGTTTGGAAGTAGGACAACAAACTTAGTGGTTCCTTTAAAAATATTACCTTTGAAAAATCCTTGGCAGAAGTGTGATAAAGGCCTAGTAAATGTTTCCAACCAACACAGTGATTATTGGAAGTGATTATTGATGGTTAAACTAATATTTATATGAACAGAGCATGGTCTAGAAGTAGCTGTTAAAACTCAGTAATGGAAATCAAGTAAATTGTGGGCTGTGTTCATTTTTGCCAATGATTTAGTGTCTGATCTAAGGCTTCAATGTGATGACAAAATTTAAATTAATTTAAAATAAAAATAAGGTTAGATTTTGGACCACCACAGGCTGCACATGAAGTCATGTCCATGATATAGGTGCCTCAGAGTGTCCTGGAATATAATGCTTTTTTCCCCTGGCATTTGGTATGCCATGTCTGTGTTGGCCATCTCACTCCAATGGGCCACCCAACATCAGAATGAAAATCATTCTGAGTTTATCAAGAAAAGCATTTTTTCATTTCATCATGAAAAAGAATTCATCAAGAAAAGCATTTCTTAAGAACCAAAGGAATCTAATCAGATTTAAATCCCTATTTAGAGAATTTGACATCAATTCTCAGAAATCATTTTAGATGATAAATGCTCTGGAGCAGAGATGTCAAACATGGAGCCTGGGCAGGAGGAATCAGATTAAAATATGACTGAGAAATATTTAACAAAATGAATAAAAATACAATGGAACATAGATAATGCTATTAAGTGGTTTTCTAAATAAATATGCCACCTGCAGATTTCTCATGTGCAGTTTGGTGGCTTCGTTTCTATTTAATAATAATATGTAATGCTTCCTATGTGCCAGGCATTGTGCTGAGCGCTTTACATTTATCTCATTTGATCTTCACAACAACCCTGGGAAATAGGTGCTATTTTTATCCTCATTTTACAGATGAGAAAACCGAGGCAAACAAAAATTAAGTGACTTGCCCAGGGTCACACAGCCAGTAACTAAATGTTTTGTTGAATATTTCCAGTCTGAGACCAGATTTGAACTCAGGTCTTCCTGACCCCCGGACTAGCACTGTATCTACTGTGCCGCCTAGTAGCCCCTGAGTTTGATGCTACTGCTCCAGACTTTCCACTTTGGGCTTCAAGGAGCATGCCAACATATTAACATTACCAAATAACATTCTAAAGGTAAGTCATTAGTATAAACTTCCCATCCCTGTTACATAGTTGGGATTAAATATGAAATCAAGTGAATGACATATCTGTCATTCATCCCTTTTATCAACCTTACTTCTCTCCTTCAATTCCTCTCTTCCCCTCCCCCAGCCATGAAACTGAAGCTCAATATGTCACCAGCTGCATCCTCCACAGTGGCACTGACCCTTGGATGTAAGAGGTCTAAGTGTATGTGTCTACAGATGGGAGAAAGCGCTTTGCACATACTGTATTAAGCTAAGCAGGTATTTAATAAGATATTAACATGATGTTTGGAATGACAATCTTTGCTGAGCGAGAATAGAACATAACAGAGCTAACATTCATAACACATTTGGAAAATGCAGCACCAAATATTGATGTGCAGAATGCCAGTTTGCTATTTAAAAGAAAGAGGCCAAGTGTACAGTAACCTAAGTTAATTTTCTGCTTCACTGCTAAAGCAGTTTTACCTGAAAGTAACACACAGCCTGTATTTTGTTAATTTAAGCAAATAAAGACTTGTTCAAAAACCCAGTTTGGTCTTCGTAGCTACATATATTTCTGCAATGAAAAGGCCTGTATAGCATCTCATTCCTACCCTCAGGTCCTATCCATTTCCAAATTTACCTTTTTTTGGTTTGTATTTTGTATGTAAGATCTGTGCATCTGTTATTTTCCCCTAATTTAGGGGTTCTTTTTAAAAATTTATTTTTAACATTTAAAAAAGTTTTTGAGTTCTGAACTCTCTCCCTCCCTCCCACCTTCTTCCCCACCCACTGAGAAGGCAAGCAATATGATACCCATTATACATATGAAATTATGCAAAAATATTTCCATATTAGCCACGTCACAAAAAAACAAGAATAAAGAAGGTGAGAAAATTATACTTCAATTTGCACATCAGTTCCCTCTCTGGAAGTGGATAGCATTTTTCCTTATGAGTTCTCTTGAATTGTCTTCAATCATTGTATTAGAACAGCCAAGCCTTTCACAGTTGATCATCATCATATCATTGCTGTTACTGTGCAGTGATGTCCTGGTTTTTCTCAGTTCACTTTGCATAAATCTTGCCATGTTTTTCTGAAACCATCCCCGTGCCATTTCTCATGGTGCAATATAATTCCATCACAATCATGTACTACAACTTGTTCAGCCATTCCCAGTGGATGAGCATTCCCTTGATTTCTAATTCTTTGCCATCACAAAAAGAGCTTCTATAAATATATTTATACAAATTGATCTTTCCCCCTTTTCTTTGATTTCTTTGGTGATAGACCTAGTAGTGGTATTGCTGGGTCAAAGGGTATGCACAGTTTTATATAGTCCTTTGGGAATAATTCCAAATTATTCTCCTGAATGGTTAGACCTGTTCACAACTACACTAACAGTTCATTAGTTTACCTATTTTCTCACATCCTCTCTAGCATCTGTTATTTTATTTTTCTGTCATGTTAGCTGATCTGATAGATGTGAAGTGGTACCTAAGAGTAGTTTTAATTAACATTTCTCTAATCAATAATGATTTAGAGCATTTTTTTTAATGTGACTATTGATAACTTTGATTTCTTTGGAAAAGTGCCTGTTCGTATCTCTGGACAATTTATCACTTGGTCAATGACTCTTATTTTTAAAAATTTGGCTCAGTTCCCTATATGTTTGACAAATGAGGCATTTTTCTGAGAAACTTCCTATAAAATTTTTTGCTACTATTTCATTGTCTATGATACCTTTTATCAAAATGTAGTTTCCCTTATGATCTCTTGTAATTAGGTCTATTTTGGCTTTTGCTTTGTCTAAGATCACGATTGCTACCCCTGCCTTTTTTACTTCAGCTGATGCATAGTAGATTGTGCTCCAGCCCATTATTTTAACTCTATGTGTTGCATATGTCTTTCTGTTTCAGGTATGTCTCTTGTGAACAATATCTTACTGAATTCTAGTTCCTGACCCATTCTGCTATCTACTTCCATTTTATGAATGAGTTCATTCCATTCACATTCACAGTTATGATTACTAGCTATATTTCTCTCCATCCAGTTTTCTTCTGTTTATTCTTCTCTCTTTTTACCCTCTCCTTCCTCAAAGATCTGTTTTGCTTCTGAGCACTGCCTCCCTTGATCGCCCTCCTTTTCTTCACCTCCCCTTCTCTTTTCCCCTTCCCCTCCTACTTCCCTGTAGGGTAAGCTAGATTTCTATACCCAACTGTATATATATATATATATATATATATATATATATATATATACACACACACATATATATATATTCTTCTCTTTTTGA